CAAATTAATAAAATTAAATCAAATTTTACTATACCTAATGTCAATTCTCATTAAATTTGGTGGTCTGTTACTTTTAGGAGTACTTTTACGAGAAAAATAAAATTGCTTCTAAGTATTAACACTTAGTAATGTAAAATGTAATACTAGGCTTCATTCAAAGCATCTTCCTCTCCTTAATTTTCTTTTCCTGTTGCAATCTCTGTTCTGCTGCAGACAATAGTGAGCAGTAGTATGTAACGCTTTATGTTACTATATGTATGTTCTGGTTGTGGAGTGAGGAATTGGTCAGTATAGATTAGAAAGCTGAGCTAGTCATAGGTTGGTCCTGCTGTGGAGATTTTCCTGTAGAAATCTAAAGACAGCAAATTGGAACAAGTTTGGGGGCAGCACCTAACTGACTTCTTGATTCTTATGACTTTAAACCTAACAGTTTCTTCAGGGCAGAACCATCATAGCACTTTGAGGACATGTAGCTTCTTGTGGCTTTTTTGTTAGTTAATGTGATACTGTTATGCTGGTTGTTTTATATACTTCTAGGAACTGTGAATAATTTTTAGGCAACGGAACTTTCAGTAGTCAGAAACCACCTAACTACATCAAATGGTAACAAGAGTATTCCATTGTCTAAGCTGACTGTGTTTTCAATGTTGCAGTGCAAAGACCTGAGCTGGCCTTCCAGCTGTGGGGAAAATCCTCGGATCTGTGTCAAGGGAATTCTCACACTGCCCAAACCAGTGCATTTCAAATCTTCTGCCAAGGAGGGCTGCAATGTAAGTAGAGGCCGGGAAATCACCAAGAAATCCCTCCCACTCCCAAAATAAAAGAGAAATGTAAATGGATTTTTAAAATGCACCAAACATCCACTCCTATATTTGCTGTGGCAGTTGCATAGATGAGGGTTACTTCACCAAGCTTCTCAAAATCCTATTTAAAAGCCTTATTCTACTTCCTCCCCCTGAATCCTCTCCTGCATTGTACAGTTGCCCTACTTCTCTCACAAGTCTGCAGGACAGATAATGCTGATAGGGAACTGAACCATGAGCTGCTGGCCATGCCACATCCACTGTGGGGAGATCAGAAGAGGACTGGGCATGACTATAGGTGCACATTCACCTATAGGTGCACATCTATTCAGGGAAGATAGATGATGTGCTACCTCCTATCCAGCAGGAGACAATATTCATACTGTGACTCTACAGAAAATACTAAGAATTGGTTGCATGGGACAAAACTCCTGATAGGAGGAATGAAGGAATATTAAGGGGATGGAAGGTAAAGCAGCATAAACCTCTCATAACATGAGCCAAAGGTGAAAGAAAATAAAATTAGCAGGAGAGGCTGTAGCAAAAGGCCACAGAATCTGTTATGGCAATGTGTGTGTGGAGTTGTAAAGCTCCAGAAGAGATGGCATCAACTTGTTATGGTAGTGAAAAACAATCCAGAGCTTTGTCCCTGCCACGGTGTACCAATGCCATGGTGAGTCTGTGGGGCTTACACTGTAAAAGCACAGTTTTCCATAGCAACCTGAAATGGTAGTCAGAAGCAGTGGCTATAGGGCCAGGAATTCTAGGTTTTGGGCTCAGTGGGGCTCTCTTAAAGATGCTACTCCTCTGTTTTTCTTTCTAGGACATTGAATTTATGGAAACTTTTGTATTTGCTATTAAACTGCAAAGCCTACAGGCTGTCAGATTGGTATTTAAAATCCAGACACAGACTCCCAGGAAAAAAACAATTGGAGAATGTTCCTTGGCACTGCGGGAGCTGAGCTCACAGGAGTCAAGTCATTGGCTGGATATATCTCCTCCTTCCAAAGCACCTGTAAGTGCCAATACTGTGAAAGTATGTTGTTATCTCACCTAGAAAGAGTTGATAGAAATGAAAGTAAAGTAACTCAGTAGTAGTTCAGTGTTAACAACAAACATTTTTTCCTTTCTTTTTATTTTCTTTTTTTTCTTTTCTCCACTTCCTTGGGGAAAGACATTTTGATGGGGAAAAAATGCAGACTTTTGAACTCTGTGCATAGCTGTTTTGGCTATAAACTGCAGCTGTTTCTAGGAAAAGTGCTAGAGCAAGCTCTTCCACACTATGGCCCACAGCTTGAGGGAGGGGCATTCTGGGTTAACGTTCAGCAAAGGACATTGGGTAATTGTATTTTCCAACCAAAAAAGCAGCAGAAGATCCTTAGGACTCGCAGCAGGAGCTCAGAGCAAATGGAATCTGCGTTTGTTATGGAAGAAAAGTGCTAAGATCTTCAGTGGCTTAAAACTGCCGAGACAGCCATATATTACATGTTCAGATTGCCTGCTGTGAAGTAGTAATTCAGACAGTTCATTTCCATTAGTGTAATAAGAAGCAGGTGGTTTTCACAGTGGGATTTCCTTTCCCCCTACCCTCACTTTGTTTGTTTCTTTTATAGATTGTGTCTAGACATTTGTATTTTCAACAAATTAAACTTAAATTAGCTATTCAAAAGCAAATTTTATCTAAGTGTGTCTGAGTAATATGAGTGATACTCTTGATTTCTAACATAAGTTACACTTGACATTTTTTGGTTCAAGCAAGAATAACCACATTGCTTCAAAAGCAGCAAGATTAAATGGCAGAGGAAGCTGTTTTAGAAAGCATTTCATCTCAATGCAAATTTCTGAATCATCTCATAATTTCTTTCTCTGCATTGGCTTTCCACACCATTATATCAAAGACCCTCCAGACACTGCTGGGATTCATCCCTGTGCTGCCCTGTGAGGCACAAACTCTTACCCTCCTTGCCCATAGAAAGCCAAAGCTCAGAGTCGAGGAAGTGGCTTCCTCTCAGGGTTACAGAGACATTTTGTGGGTGAGACACAAAGAGAATTTGGGTCTCTTTGAAGAACTGGAGCCTGACTTCTCTTTATCTGACCTGTTGCTCTCTCTTGGTGCATTTTACTTCACTGAAGTGCATTAAAATTGAAGGGAACCAAGAGTAGCAGAGTCTATTTAAATGGAGACTGTCAGGAAAGGTGGATCTCCACTGGCCTTTTCCTGCTGCTCTTACAGTGTTCTCAGTATGTTAGCATCTGACAGGAGAATAATGAGGATGTCCCAGTGGAACTTTGCCACTAGCAAAAATTCTGAACAAACACAAAGAGACTGTACATTCTGAGTGTGTGTGTGGCAGGTGTGTATGTGTGTAGGCATGTAAACCACAAGTAATTCCACGACATAGGAAACCACAGTATGCAGTCACCCTAAGCATTCGTGGCATTAAGAGACAGGCCCTTGTATCTATGGAAAACATTGCATATATTTCCATATTGCAAAATTCAGAAGTGTGGGAGAACTCCAAAGATTTTCTGTAAGTGGAGCATACCTGATGTCTCACTTCCACACCCAGCTTTAGTAGAGCTGCAAAGGCATGCCTGTTTTTCCCTGTATGTGTCTGCTCTTACCAATGCAGAATCCTTCCCAGGTGAAAACTGAGGACTCATTTATTTGCCCAGTATCTCTGGCTGCAGCCCACAATGACTGTATGTGCACTGCACATCATCAGTCCATCAGTGGAGCACATGTACTGCAGCTATGGCAAGTGCGAGATGCACTTTCTGTGCATCTGCAGGCTGTGTATACAACACATGCTTATATTTCTGTCCAGGAAATCCCAGATAGAAATGTGGGAGCCCAACATATGATAGAATTCCTGTGTTTCCTGAGTTTATAAGCAACTTAATCCAGATGTTATAGCAACATTCTTCTGCTTGTAGGTGCACCGTGTAGAACTTCAAGTAGGAACTTGTTTTCAAGCCGTAAACAGGAGGATACAGTTACAGATTATTGAAGCACAAAACCTTCCTGTTTCATCTGCACCACTGTCTTCAAGTAAGTTACATCAGCTGTTTTCATGCCTCCTATCTAAAAGCATTTGTAACAGGTAAATTGCTGCTCAAATGGATTGGCCATTCATAACATTCCTTACAAACCTCAGACTAACATACCGTGCAGGGGATTTCCATTGCCAAGGCTTGTTTCCACAGATGTCTTACTTGATTACTTTTGTGTTTGGTTTGAAGCTATGTGTTTATGTATTTTGGAAGATTTTTGTCCCAGTATTAATCCTGACATACAAAAGCATTAGCTTGCACTTGCTGTTTGGATACTGTTAATCAGTTCAATATTACTGAACATACTCTGTTTGTGTGACTAGTCAGGAAAGCTACAGCTCTTCTGGCCAGACTTTGGAGAAATTGTTGCCATTTGACCCATACATGTGGATCTTGCTGGTTCCATTTTGGATGTGTTTGTGAGTAACCCTTTGTGTACTGAGCCTTTTTCCCTCCCTTTTGTGCTAGATTTCTTTGTGAAAGTTGGAATGTTTAGTACAGAAGGGATGATCTATAAGAAGAAGACTCGTCTTCTGAAGTCCACTAATGGCCAAGTGAAGTGGGGAGAAATGATGAATTTTCCAGTTATCCAAGCTGAACAAGGAATTAGCTTTCTCATCAAGCTCTACAGCAGAAGCTCAGTGAGAAGAAAACACTTCCTAGGACAGGTTGGTTTCTGCTAAGTAGCCTGCTAAGTAGTACTTAAAATCCAGTCCCACAGGTTTCTTGGTATGAGTTTATAATACTTTAAATGAGGTAGCATATATCAAAATAGTAAATCCTA